TTGTGAACCAGAAAGACCTTAAGTTCCCCCTGAAGCTCTGCATTCCCCCTTAATCAGTGCAATTATTTCCCCCCATGGCATCATAAAAAGATTAGAAACAGGTAAGCAAGAAGGAAGTCCAGTTTTGAGTTAACTCATGCCACATATGTGCACACAGTCATGATTAAGGACAGAGCATAAAAGCACGGTATAAACATCAACAAGGGAAAAGCTTGCATTAACAAAGTTTTGGATTTTACAGCAGGAGCAGAATAAATGTTACTACCACATCCACACATTATAACAATCAACAAAAATACCACAAGTTATCATCATAAGAACTGACAAGGAGAGACTGGACACCGAGGGGACATAATTTAAGAAGCACTGGGAGGAGAAGGTTTGGAAGCAGAGGAAATTGCTTGGAGGACTAGATCCATACGAGCATTTGCTGACATTTGCTCATCCTGCAATCTTTCTTTCAGGTCCTCCACTTATTTCCTCAGCTCAGTGTTCTCCTTTGTCAGGCGAGCAACCTCTTCGCTCTGAGAGTGATTGGAACCAGGTGCCTCTTGCAGCTGACTTATCTGAGTCTCAAAGATAGCATTCCTTTATTTCAATTGCCTTATCTCAGTAGTAGCACTGGTTTGAGCATTGATTAATTGAGAAATGGTTGAAGTGCTTGCAACCCCTCCAAATTTTTCTATACACTCACATTCATGAAGAGTGATTTTTGAAAAAGTTTGCTTCTTGGCACCCACTTTAACTGGACCCGAGAGGAACCTTGCGGTGCTCGAAGACCTTGGTAAGATGGAACCCATATGTCAGCTGTAACGACCCGACCGGTCGTTTTGAGTTTTTGCACTTTGCTTGCCAGTTCTCGGGCATGACTTGCCCCCTGTTGTATATTATGACTTATGTAAACCGTTGGTTTTGGTTTTCAGGGTAATCGGGATGAATTTGGAAGAACAGTTCTCAGTTTGAAGCTTGAAATTCAAAAGGTATGACCAAGATTTGACTTGCTTGTATATGATCTCGGATCGGAAATCTTATGATTTGCTTAGCTCCGTTAGGTGATTTGGGACTTAGGAGCGTGATCGGAATGCATTTTGGAAGTCCGTGGAAGGTTTAGGCTTGGATTGGCGAAACTAAGATTTCGGTGTTTTCTGGTTGATAGGTGAGATTTTGATATAGAGGTCGGAATGAAATTCAGAGAGTTGCAGTAGCTTCATTATGTCATTTGGGATGTGTGTGCAAAATTTCAGGTCATTCGGACGTGGTTTGGTTGGGTTTTTGATCAAAAGCGTATTTCGGAAGATTTTTATAAACTTAAGCTTGAATCCGATGTGTTTTGGGTGAATTGATATTAAATGAGGTGTTTTGATGATTGGAACAAGTTTGAATAAGGTATTGGGTTATGTTTGTGCTTTTGGTTGAGGTCCCTGGGCCTCGGGTGTGATTTCGGGTGGTCAACGGAGAGATTTGGAATTTTGTTGCAGCAACTAATATTGCTGCTTCTGGTATTTTCGCATCTGCGGATTGGGACCACAGATGTGGCGCCGCAGATACGGGTGAATTATCGCAGAAGCGAAATTTGGTCAGGTGAGCACATACCGCAGAAGCGGTCAAGAAGGCCGCATATGCGAAGCCGCAGATGCGGAAGTTCAATCGCATATGCGATTTTGGGTTTTAAGTGAAGAACCGCAGAAGCGGAGGATTTGACCGCATATGCGGTACCGCAGAAGCGGGTTTTGGGCCGCAAATGCGGAAAGGCCTGGGCAGACCATATATGTTATTTCATTTCGCGATTTTGGGTTATTTCACCATGGTTGCCTTCGACCTTGGAGCTTTTTGGGCGATTCTGAAGAGAGAAATCAAGAGACTTCGTTAAGGTAAGGAATTTTGGACCTAAAACTCAATTTTTTTGGTTGTATTTCATGAATTTAGGGCTGTAATTGAAGGAATTAAAAGGGCAAAATGGAGGATTATGGCTTGAGTTTAAGAGGCCTTTAAATGGGGATTTGAGGGGTCATTTGGACTCTGATTTTAGTATGTTTGATATGTATGAACTCGTGGGGAGACGAGTAATCTACTGATGTAAAAATTTCTGAGTTTCGAGAAGTGGGCCTGGGGCTCAGGTTTTGGTAATTTCGGGATTTATGCCCGTTATTGATTGTTTTCGCTTGGGCTTTGTTCCCTTAGCATATGGTGATGTATTCGTTCTGATTTTGGATAGATTCGACGCGCGTGGAGGCCGATTTGAGGGGCAAAGGCGTTGCGAGCTAGAGATTTTGCTGGTTCGAGGTGAGTAATGATTGTAAATGATATTCTGAGGGTTTGAAACCCCGGATTGCACATCGTAGTGCTATATTGAGGTAAGACACGCGCTGGATGATGAGCGTGGGGTCTTTTACTACTGGGGATTTGTGACTCGGTCCGTCCCGATTGATGATTTTACCGTGTATTTGACTGAAACTTGTTTGTTATCGTCATGATTTGGGCTGATTGCCATATTTGGGCTTCGTGCCAATTATTTGAACCCTTCGGGGATTTTTATCACTATTTCCTCACTGTTCGACTTATTGCTTGAACTCAGTCCTGTTCATATCTACTGTTTTACAAACTCAGCCACCTTTTACTCAGATTTGAAACTTAAATGATATTTATAAATGATGTTTTGGGCTGAGAACTACTGTTTTACTAATGCCCGAGGGGCTTGTGATGATATCTGACTGAGCGCGGCCGAGGGCCATATGTGAGGATACACTGAGTGATATGAGGCCGAGGGCCTGAGATATATTTATATGCCACGAGGTGGCTTGAGTGATGTGAGGCCGAGTGCCGAGTGATGTGAGGCCGAGTGCCGAGAGATGATGCCACGAGGTGGCTTGATATAGCGCTTGGGCCGTAAGGGGCCCCTCCGGAGCCTGCACACCCACAGTGAGCGCGGGTACCCATTGTTATGAGAGTGAGCCCCAGGGGCTGAGAGTGTTCTGAGAGTGAGCCCGAGGGGCTGATACTATTCTGAGAGTGAGCCCGAGGGGCTGGTATTGTTCTGAGATATGTGCCCGAGGGGCGAACCTTTATGTGTTCATCTTTCATATTTACTGGTCATTTTATCTGTTATACTGTGGTATTTGTGCCCGAGGGGCGGATTTTCGGTGCTTATCGACACTAACTATTTTGCATTCATTGCGTAACTGTTGAAAAAGTCATTTTCAAAAGAGTTTAAGCTGAGCTAAGATATTTCTAAAGATTTTACAGCTTCACTGCTTTTTTTTTGCTCAAAGGGTTCTACACTGCTTCTATACAGCATGTTGGTTTGCTTTACGTGATTTCTTACTGCTCAGTTGTTATTTACCTTTATTACTCACTGAGTTGGAGTACTCACTTTACTCCCTGCACCGTGTGTGTAGATGCAGGTATTTTTGCACCCGATAGTGGGTTTTGACTGAGCGGAGGCAGAGTTATCGGAGTTAGCAAGGTGACTGCCAGCGTTCGTAGCACCGTTTTTCTCCCTTTGTTTATCAGTCCTGTTTCGCATATTTCAGACCTTGTGGTTGTTTTATACTCTAATAGATGCTCGTGACTTGTGACACCCCGGTTTGGGCTGTGTCGGGTTGTATTTCCGCTAATTATTATCGTTAAATCATATTTAAACTGCTTATGAACTGTCTAATTGTTTTTAAAAGGATGAATCGGGTTTAGTTGGCTGGCCTTGTCCCAACGAGAGGCGCCATCACGACCGGTCTTGGTTTGGGTCGTAACAGCATCCCATGATTACCATCGTTAAAATCAGCCACTTTGTTCATGTGCTCTATCATGATCCCAGGCAGATTGATGGTAGTAAAGTCATCCAGTGCTTCCATGAGGAACAGGTCTGCACGAGAGGTGATGGATCTTCGCTCAGCTCAAGGCAGCAACACTTTGTTTACCATCTCAAATAGCAATTGGTAAATAAGAAGGAGGGCCTTCTTCTGAACCCGTTCCCCTTGCTGAACTACTCTGTCCTTCAAGATTGGATTTTTGAAATTCTGAGTACAAGCTCCTTGAACACTAGATATCCCTTCAGTGGGCACACCAAGAATAGATCCCAACAAGGCAGGGTCTAATACCATGTCAACCCCATTCACCAAGGCACAAATGTGACAATCCTCAACCTTGTACAAGTCGGCATAAAAACTTTGAACTTCCTCCTCATATACCCTAGCAGCACCACTTGTGAACAAGTGTGTCCATTGTTCGAAATCACATATCTCAACTAACTGTCTCATACCAGCCTCCACCAAGACATCAGAGGCAAATGTATGCCCCCAGAGTACCTTTTGACTTCTCAATCTTTCTTTCTCAGCACTCCTCGGATCATCAGTTCTGGCCCTCTTTGAGGGACCAGGTTCATCAGCAGTATCAACCTTTCTCTTAGCAGTCTTGCGAACACCTTTCTTCTTTTTATCAGACTTCATAGATTTTTCACCTGAATCTTTCTCCACATTCTCAGTAGCAACAACATCAGCAGACCTAGTCCGACATTTAGAAGACACAGAAGATCTCCCGTTTGGTTTGAGAACACCATGCTTTTGTGACAACTTCCTTGTCAACGTACTAGGTTCTTTCGCTTCTTCTTCATCCACACTCACAACCGGAACTATCTTCTCATTTGGAATTGCCATCCTTCACTAATTGTTTTCTCCTTGATTTAGTCTGACTGTTCTTAAGAACAGACTCAAGAGATTCCTTCTTTTGCAACCTTGTTGTGGGTCGCTTAGGAGTGGGCTCTCCACAACTACTACTCTACGCCTAGACAGACTGGCAATTGGTAAGTCATCAGAATTTTCTTCACTATCCTCTTTTTTATTTTCAGACGCAAGACCCGTCTCAGGCATGATTACACTTAGAGGCTCAACATCTAGATGAGGAGAGGGAGTAGGGTTAGTACTGACCTGGGGTTCCTAAGTAGGACCCGGAGTTGGATCCTCTAAAGGCAAATCGGGTCCTCCAACAGGTTCCCCAATAGTACCTTCCTATGCTGAAGGTTCAGCAGGAACAAGCTCACTATCCTCCCCAACAGGCCCAGATGCTTCCCCATGAGTCTTAAGACCGTCCTCACTTCCTCCGACAAAAACCCCTTCATTGGCGATGGAAGCATATTTTCGATTGCTTCCTTTTCTTGCAGATTCATAAGAAACTCGAGAGAAGTAGGAGAGACACCTGTGGACTGGGGTTCGAGAGCGGTCTTTGTTGAGTCGATGACTTTATTTCCCTCAACCTAGTCTGCTTTTGACTTTTCTTCTATAGGAGAACTTGAGATTTTTCGATTTTCTTCATTCTCAGCAATACTCGTGACATACTTCTTTTCTGGCGAGGTAAGAGATGAGCTCTGGGCAACACCTCCTGCGAGAGTTTGATACTTGGGACTCTTGTGAGAGCAGGAAATCAAATGGATAGGAGAGGAGATGAAGTGTGGGGGTGACTCTGTTCTAGGGTTTTGGTTATCAATAGTGTGAGAAGCAGAGTCTGGCGCTGGCGTTTCGACTGGTGAGGACTCGATAGTACTGGAGATCATTTGATCTTCAGCCATGGTGGGAAGAAGAGAAGATTTGGTGAACTGAAGAGAGAAGGAATAGGAAACAGGTTTGGAAGTGTTTATGTGTGAAGTGCGGTGACAGAGATAGATGTATTAATGATGACAGAGGGATTGGTTAGAAACAAAGCGGCAGGTTTCAGGGAGATAGGTCGATTTATAACTAGTGAGGCGTTTGGGTTCAAAAGATGCAAAACTAAAATCTGACATGCTAATGATGTGGCAATTGTTTTAGTTGTTCAGAATTGTGCATGAGAGAACAGAGAAACTACTAACCAGTGTCAGGAGAACCAGGTTCCCTGACAGATCTCTTGTCTGTAAGCTTTGTTTTTTTTACCAGTGTATACAGCCTCAAATGCTTATTTACTCTATAATCATCAAGCGTACTTTGCCGGAAAACACATTTTAGCTAAGTTTACCCGAACCTTTCTTTCATAGTCAATCATTAAGGGACCAGGTTCTCTATTGGGTTTTATTAATCCCAATGCCAGACGATTTTGCTCGAAGTATTCTCTGCTCAGGGCTTTGGTAAATATATATGCAATTTGGTCTTCAGTGCTGCAGAATTTCATGCATATAAACCCTTTCTCACCATTGTCTTTGAGGAAGTGGTGACATACATCAATGTGCTTGGTCCTCTTATGTTGAACTCGACTTTTGCCATGTTAAGTGCACTAGTATTATCACATAAGAGTGGCACACAGTCTGAGAATACTCCAAAATCTTCCAATTGTTGCTTGATCCACAAAAGTTAAGTACAGCAAGAGGCAGTTGCTATATATTCAGCTTCTGTAGTTAAAAGTGCCACAGAGTTATGCTTCTTTGTACCCCATAAGATTAAGAAGGAACCCAGGAAGTGTGCCATTCCAGACGTGTGTTTCCTGTCCACCAGATATCCAGCATAATCAGTGTCAGCATAGCATCCTAAAGGATAATAGAGGACCATGTCCTGTGTTCCTTTGAGATATCTCAGTATTCTCTTGACAACCTTCAGATGAGATTCCTTTGGATTGGATTGAAACCTTGCACAGAGACCCACGCTAAAAACAATGTCCGGTTTGCTTGTAGAGATACAATAATGACCCTATGATCCCTCTATACATAGTCTGGTTTATAGGGGAACCAGGTTCATCCATGTCTAGACGAGTAGTTTTTGCAATGGGCATGTCGATAACTTTTGATGCTTCCATATCAAACCTTTTCAGCAGCTCCTTGATGTACTTTTGCTGACTTATCAATGTTCCATTCTTAGATTGTTTCACTTGAAGTCCTAGGAAGAAATTCAGTTCTCCCATTATACTTATCTCGAATTCACTCCCCATGAGTTTAGCAAATTCTTCGCAGAGAGAGTCAGTTGTGGCTCTAAAGAAGATATCATCAACATATACCTGAACAATGAGTAGGTTCCTCCCTCGTTTCTTTAGAAAAAGAGTGTTGTCATTCTTCCCTCTTGCAAAGCTATTTTCCAGAAGGAATTTTGACAATCTTTCATACCAAGACCCGGGAGCCTGTTTTAACCCGTACAAAGCCTTATCTAGTTTAAACACATGATCAGGGTGTCCGTGATACTCAAAACCAGGAGGCTGCTTTACATAAACTTCTTCTTTCATATAGCCATTTAGAAATGCACTTTTGACATCCATTTGGAATTGTGTGAAATCCATATGAGATGTGAAGGCAATCATAATTCTAATGGCTTCCATTCGAGCTACAGGGGCGAATGTTTCATCATAATCAATCCCTTCTTCCTGATCGTAGCCTTGAACCACAAGCCTTGCATTGTTTCTGTTGTATTTTCAAACTCATCAAGTTTGTTTCTGAATACCCACCTGGTTCCTATAATGGTTCGATCAGCAGGTCGAGGAACCAGGTGTCATACCTTGTTCCTTTCAAACTGATGCAACTCCTCTTGCATAGTTGTGATCCAGTCTGCATCTTTCAGTGCTTCTTTTATACTTTTGGGCTCTATTTGGGAAAGAAAAGCTGAGAAGGCAAGTGAGTTTCTTGATTTTGATCTGGTTTGAACTCCCGAGTCAAGAGGAGTGATTATGTTGTCAAGAGGATGTGAACTTTTGAACCTCCAATTTGGTGTCTGAGTCTCATTGGTAGAGGAACCATGCATATCTTACTGGGAGTCTTGAGCGCTTCTTACTTCACAGAGTGGAGTTCCTTGGACTGCATCAACAACTCTATTTTCAGCTTCAGTTATTGTAATCGGGGGGCCAGGTTCCTCTCTAATTGATGGAGATGTATTTGCATCTTCTTCACTAGATTCCTTGACATGGCTCATCATGTCTGCCTTTCCATTTGCCATGTTAATTACTTCACCTGGCACAGATAAGGGCTCTCCATCTTGATCAACATGTCTGTCCTTTTCGCAGGAGAGGTGAGCTTCATCAAAGATCACATGAATGCTTTCTTCTACACATTGAGTCCTTTTGTTGTAAACCTTGTAAACTTTGCTTTGAGATGAGTATCCCAGAAATATTCGTTCATCACTTTTGGCATAGAACTTCCCAAGAGCTTCCTTTCCATCGTTATGAACAAAGCATTTACACCCAAAAGTTCTTAGATGTGTCAGCTTGGGCTTCCTTCCATTCATCAGTTCATATGGAGTTTTGTTCAAAAGGAACCTGATCATGCACCTGTTTACCAAGTAGCATGCAACATTGACAACTTTTGCCCAGAAAAACTTTGCGATCTCACTGTTAATTAGCATTGTTCTTTCCATGTCTTCAAGAGTTATATTCTTCCTCTCCACAACACCATTTTGTTGAGGTGTTCTTGGAGCAGAAAAATTATGTCTGATGCCATTTTTAGTGCAGAATTCATCGAACTTGACATTGTCAAACTCCGTCCCATGATCAGACCTGATGCATGCTACTTTATTACCCATCTTCACTTAGATCTTTTTGACAAAGGCAACAAACACTTCAAAGGTTTCATCCTTGGTCCTGAGGAACAAGTTCCAGGTGAATCTGGAATAGTCATCAACTATTACAAAGATATACTTCTTTCGTCCTCTGCTTGGCACCCTCATAAGTCCACATAGATCCATGTGAAGGAGATCAAGTGGCCTTGCGGTGCTGACTTCCTTTTTGGGCTTGAATGAAGATCTAACTTGCTTCCCTTTTACACATGCATCACACACTTTGTGATCTTGAAGCTTGATTTGGGCAGACCACGAACCAGGTCCTTCCTTACTAATTTGTTTAACAACGTGAAGCTTGCGTGGCCTAGCCTCCTATGCCATAACTCAGTATCATCATCAACAGTGCTTAGGCAGCTTAGATAACCATTCTTCAGTGACTCAAAATCAGCTACATAGATATTCTTGTATATTTTTGCCACTAGCACCACCTCACACGTCACCGGGTTTATGACTGTACAGATTTTTGACACAAATTCCACCTTGTTTCCCTAATCACAGATTTGGGAAATGCTTAGTAAGCTGTACTTCAATCCGCTCATATAGTACACATTTTCAATTGAGTGAGAGAGAGACTTCCCAATTCTTCCAACTCCCAGAATGTATCCCTTCTTGCCATTCCCAAAGGATGCACTCCCTCCTTGCAGGGCCTTTAGTGAAAGGAAATCATTTGTACTTTCAGTCATATGCTTTGAGCATCCGCTATCCATGTACCTTTTGTAGGCTGTTTCCTTTCACTATTCCCTGCACAAGAAGATTAGGAGATAGCTTTAGGAATCCAAGCCAATTTGGGTCCCTTGTAATAAGGAAAAGGGTGAATAAGGGATCTTTTGGTAATGAGGGACCAGGTTCTCTACTAGTAGTGACTTTTTTAATAAAGGATTTGTTTTTCTGCTGTGACTGACATCTGGCCTTATAGTTTTCTTTAAGGTGCCCATTGTTACCGCAGTGGGTGCAAAGCCAATTGTCAGGTACAGTAACGCACTTGCTATGGGGATTGTAAGGAATCTTTTCCCCTTGAAACCCAATCCCCTGCCTGTTTTCCCCATTGTTGGAGTACATGGTAGTGATAGCATCAGAGGACCAGGTCCACTTGAGTGATTTTTCGAGATCACTCTTCACTCTACCTAGTTCTTCTTGAAGTTGTTTGTTTTTCTCAAGCTCAGCACACAGACTTAAACTGCCCTGAATTTAGCTCATTTTCAAGCTTAATGTGTGCCTCGCTTGAAACTTCCTTTCCTTTTTGATAATTTTCAGCCCTACTTTCTATTGTTGGTTTCCCAATGGTTTCCTTCAAGTCCATTACTACCACTAGAAGGTCATCTCTTTCTTGTTCTACATTTTTAATCCTTTTCTTTAAGACTTTTCTTTCTTTCTTCAGGTTCTCAATTGACTCTCTTAGATCAACTGCAACTATTACTAGGTCATCTCTAGACTGTTCTACTTCTCCTAGTTCAACTGTTAAGACATCTCTGTCATTTATAAGACTATGATTAGCGTCGATTAACATATTTTCCAAAGACATGAGTTTCTAAGGAGAATAAGATTTCAGATTTTTCTGAAGATCTAGAAAATTTACCTCATCATCATCGTCATCTTCATCATCAGACTGACCATCAAAGCAAAAATTGAATCATACTCGGTTGCTTCACTTTCTACTGCCATCATAGAGTTGTTACCTGGTTCATCATCTTCTCCAGATTCGCTTGATGAATCTTCCATGCAGCAAGAGCTTGTCTCACGACATTGTCAGCGACGTTTTTTCTATTGAAGCATCTGCCAGGAAGCAGGTTCCTTTTGGTTGATTTGTCAGAGTTGTTCTTGTATTGGTCCTGCTTTAGGAGAGGGCAATCCTTGATGAAATGTCCTGGCTTGCCACATTTATGACAGAGGTCATAATTCTTTGGCTTGCTAGAACTTTCCTTTTTTGGAATGTCTCCATTCCTGCGAACCATCTTCCGGAATCTTCTTGTTAGGTATGCCATATAACCATCTTCACCACTTGACTCATTGTTTTCTGTCTTGAGGACAAGGTTCTTCTTCTTCTTGGTCTCTCTTCTTTCACTGTCTTTCTTCTTCTTCATTTCATATATTTTAGATTGCCAACAAGCTCATCAATAGTTAGCTCCTGCAAGTTCTTCGCCTCTGTAATGGTGTTCACTTTGCTTTCCCAAGAATTGGGTAGCATGCTTGGGATCTTTCTAACCAGCTTGTTTCTTGGAATAGTTTCACCAAGGGAGTGAAGCTTATTAATGATGGAGGTGAATCGGGTATGCATTTCTTGGACAGATTCGTCGTATTGCATCCCGAAGAGCTCGTATTCTGTTGTGAGCATGTCGATTTTGGATTGCTTTACCTGTGTTGTTCCTTCGTGAGTTGTCTAAAGGGTTTCCCAAATTTCTTTGGCTGACTGACATGCTGATATCCTGTTGTATTCATTATCACACCTCCTTTTTCGCTTACTACACCCCGCGAAGGGTATAATAAAGGAGTTTTTCCACTTAAAGGACAATCGGAACGAGATTTATTATTAAGGTTTCAGAGTCGCCACTTGGAAGATTAATGGTGTCCCAAGTCACCGGTTGAATCCCGAACCGAGGAAATTATGACTCTGTTAACAGTCCGTGATCCAGAAATCCGGATAAGGAATTCTGTTAACCCGGGAGAAGGTGTTAGGCATTTCCGGGTTCCGTGGTTCTAGCACGGTCGCTCAACTGTCATATTCGGCTTATTTATTTGATTCTAGTACATGTTTTAACCTATGTGCTTTTTGACTTTGAACCGCTTTTATTTATTATTTTAAAGAGAATTGCAACATTGTAAAAACGTGTCACGAACCACGTCACATAAATGCACCCGCGGTTTTTGATACATTTCGACTTCGTTGAGATTTGAATTTGGGTCACATAAATGTGCACCCGTATTTAGGAAGGTAAAATTATTAAAAAAAAGCGCGCCTAAAGTGGCTAGCGTCTTATTAACTTTGCGGGAAGCCATGAAAATTCGCTAAATGGCATGTCCCGAGTTTCTAAATATTTTTTATATAATCGTTTAATGAGGGCCCCGCAATTTATATGTTTTGATTTGGCGAGGCTCGTCTCATTTATTTTAAGGCCAACCTAAAAGCAACTACAATTTTTCTATTTATTATTTGTCTCTAAAAGGCCAATTAACTTAAAATTATAAATTCGGGCCTCGAATTCAGGTTCGAATTCAAACAAAAGGGAGGACCCTTTTAGCTTGAACCCGCTACCTAATTCGAAACCCAATTTTTATATTCATGAATTAATTCCTTATATATGCTCAATACCATTTTTAAAGGTTTTTCTGATTCAAGGAAGATTTTGGGGCCTTAAAGACCCGGCCCAGGGTTTGAATTCTCAGCACCCTTTGGGCTTCAGCGTGAGCCCAGGTACTGTTGCAGGTATTAAGTCTAGACTGCCTGGGAAAGGCACGAGAGCCCAAACTACCTGAAAATAGACTGTTGAGCATTCCGTTATTACCTCCTACCAAGTTTGGATTCAATTGAACACCTCAGAGATATTCCACATTATTTACCAAGCATTCAATGATTTATGAAGAAAAAAAAAACAAACAGCATCACATCACTTATACTAATGAAGCATGGATTATTCCAAGTTCAGGCACAACTTAAATTTCCTTATTTGCTTACCTATTAATAAGTTTTTAACTATTATTATACAGGAAATCAAATAGAAGGCGTGACTAGATTTAAGTAACAACAATTATCAACCCAGGTTGACACCTATTAAACTAATTATTTCTTACTGAATCAATGTTCAATGTAAAATCATACAAACCTAAGCTATATCTCATCAGTAGCCATGGCTGAACTAAACCGAAGTAAACTTATTAATTTCGAACATAACAGACTTCTCTAATTAATTTGACAGCCTGTTGTTTATCAAAGGAGGTTTGCACGAAAAAAAATGAAGAAGGCGGTGATTCAAACAATTGCAGTAGTTCGAACAGTTCCAATTATACT